AAAAAGCTTTCTAACATACTAGATAAATAATCAGATTGCCAACAGTATCTAAATCATAAATTTCGGAAACAATAAACATTAAAAGAATAGAATTATCATGAAAATAATCACTAAGTATGACCTTAAACTTCCCGTACGTGGAATATTTACAAATTATTGTTTACTAACTTACGTAGTTATTTATAATTTATTTTTAAATAATCTGATAAACATACTTATGGCAATCATCTCATTAACTGAAGTTTTATAGCAACACCAACAAGAAAAAGGAGAAAGGGGGGTGAAGTTGTTTAAAAAGTGGGTACAAGTTAAAACTTTTTTAAAAAAATGGGTGCAATTTCTACGATTGGAGCACCTGTGTATAAACTCCCAACATATTATGCTGAACCGGTATATTATACTGGAACTCCAATATATTATGCTGGAATTCCAATATATTATATTGGAGTATTTTCCGAATTTTGAACAGTGTTTTCGTTCAGATTTATTTTTACATGAAAAATGGCTAAATTTCAATTACTTTTGAAACTGTGGCTATTTTTGAATGACCACTTATAAATCTGGCTAATTTTTAATTTCTCCCTGATACAGGTGCTAACCGTTTGTATATATTTACTACTAATCGATACAAATTACAAATGAAATGCCCGATGTGCATCTATGTTCTCTTTCTTGCCTTTGTGTTTTACTGGCTCTAATGATACACAGATCATTTCTTCCACAGGTTAAAATTGGCCTTCAAGATATACTGTAACAAATATTAATGAACCACAAGCAAAACTGATGAAATTCTGAAAGAAGCCCCTCTTACAATTTCTGGAGACCTCTTTTTTTTTTTCGCGCTGCAGTGCACAACCATAAGTTCCTAACCTGGAAGAGTGACTCAGAGATACCAAACGTTCAGGGAACAGCTACCACAAACTCAAGAGAGAAGAAGGTTGCTCCGCTGGAAGCTGCAAATAAATTCTGCTGTTCAACAAAATACCCTAGAGTAGGTTCCTATTCATAAAACTACCTATACCAGATGGAAAAAATAGAAACCAAAAAGCACCAACATAAAGTCATTACAAGTAAAATTTCCCCTTCCCCTTATCTTGCTCTCACTTTGCCTTCCTCACACCTGCTCTCTACTCTGCAATCACAAATCAGGGCCTCACGAATTCATCAAGGCATATCAGGAGTGTAACACAAGGATGAAGAGAACATATAGAGTTAATTTGTGACTTCACCGCACCTGAAATGTTAATTTGTCAGCCCTCACAATGCAAAAAGTAAATGCCCCGTAAAGAGAATATATAGATGGACTAAGAGATGAAGTGTGGCCAGGAAAACTCAAATCGAGTTGCAGCTGATTGATTCACTGCACCTTCTAAATTGCACAATATGTTTCTGAAGCAGTTGCATCAGTGTGCTGTGATGAGAATCTCATGTAGTACAAATTCAAATGTCCAAAATTTGTATACTTAAATGTACAAGATGAACATTTCCGTACATGAAGCCTGTATCTTCTCAATTCTCTGTGAAGCACCGTGAGCTAGCACCCGAGGTTTGAACCAATTTGCGCCTCTTAACCGCCAGCCGGGGTTTCAACTAAACAGAAGAACAACACTAGGTTCAATGTTATATATCTTAATAAGTCGGTCTAGAGAGTATTGCAATGCACACTGAACAAAATTTATCAGGGAAAAAATGGCACAGATCATTTGTAGAACAAGGATCCACTACGACTACTTAAATTTTGGTTCCCCCTTTTTCTGATAATTCAGATATTCTGTTCACAAAGGAATAAAATTAGTAAATAAAAATAATTAAAACAACTTTTTAGATACAAAACTTTCTTAATGAGGGTGCGCAGATCTCCTATCTTTGGGCATGCAATTAACAGTTGATAAGCATAAAGCAACTCATTACCAAAACCCAGCTTATTTTTCCTTGTCTCAAGAAACCATATTCTGGAAAATGTAAATCCTAGTTTCTCAAAATTTGAGCTGTTTAAAAGCGATAAGGGGCCAGAATCCTGCTGTGTTACAGTTGTGCACAGGGAGGTAGTCTGTTGGACCATGAGACCTTACTCCACTAGAAAATAAAAAGGAAAAGATGGATAGCATATAATACAATCACCAAAAAGAAAAACTTAGAAAAAATTTCTTCAACTAAAAACAATTTTAATAACAAATGGAAAACCTCGGTATACAAGAGGCAGAGACAGCAGAATTCAGAAAACGATAGCTTGCAAAAACCACATCGAGTACACACATTAGAAAAGTTCCATGAATTTGCATTAGCACATATACTAAGAAGATAATGTAATGAAAATATTTGAGATATACAACTGCAGTTGGAAAATCTTTTGGTTTTAGAAGAATGTGGCACAACAAAATTTTCTTGGTAGTAAATATAATTGTGGCTGATTGGATCTGATCTTGGCAACATTAGTTATAACTACACCTCTTTCAAAAGAAAGTATATAGTGAGATGATTTCTTTGCCGAAACGGGAAAAGAATGCAATAACAAGGTTTCATGATATACCGTCTCTATATACTTCAATTGCTTTAGCACATCCTCTGTTTCTAGTTCCTGAGAGTGAGTGAGACAATGAACAGCAATAATAAGGATGGATCTCAGTGAAATGGGAATATGGCAAAAGAACAACCCAAAGAGCAGTAAAAGAGAGCAGCAAGTAATTATATCAATGTTCTGGCACCTGTAGGATTTTCAATACGCATATACTGTGCTTCTGGGAAAAATCATTCAGATTATCAATGGCTTTGTCATTACGAAGATATAAGAGTCAAAGTCAAAATTAGTTAGGTATTATCTGATTCTGCATAAACCTCCATTTTTTGGGAAGGAAGAACAGTTTTGCAAGATGATCAAACAAATATACTAGTCCAAAAATGTTTACACTTGCTATTACAGTAAAACACAAATATCTCCCCGCAGATCATAGTTGGCGAAGAATACTGAAGCTATAAGCACCTTGCATGATTCTTCAAACATAAACTCAAAGATGTAAATCTTTCTTACTTTCATTAACCAGCATAAAACCTGTGAAACAACTAGACAACTTTGGAATCAAAAGCCTTAATCCTAACAAGAAAATAGTTCTCCAACTAACAAAAATAAAATGAAAAAGAACCATCTCTAACCAAAGCAAGAAAGGAGAGTGGAACCGCAATCTAGAAGGAATAAAGCAAGTAAACGAGTTTACTCGAAGACAGGATGTAGAACACAATATTTGGACTGAAAACTCACATACTTGAGGTACAGCACAATCTGCATGAGGTGGATCCCACAGGACAGCACGGAAGCACTCCCAGTCATCTGTTTGAACTTCAAATAGTGGGGCCCTGACATGATAACACCAAGTTGCAGATTAGGCATCCTAATGGATGAAAATTAACACAAAACCAAAATATCATGAATATTTCCAACAAAAGAAAAGACAAATTACATGATCCCAGTGAATTGTGAATGGAAATTAAAGAGATAGGAGTTATCCAGGATGCCTTGATATGGCAACTTCCCTATTTTTTTAATTATATGGTACTGACCAGACCAGATCAGTTTGCGTGCACCTAGACTATCACACCATGTACCTGCTATCTCCCATCAACACAGTGCCGAGCAATTTTGCCGACCAAGCTTACACAGAGTTTGTCTCAACTGAGATTTGAACCCCGGTTCCCAAGGTTTGCACCCACTTCATTCACCACTACGTCACACTCTTGGGTGCTTTCATATGGGAACTTCCCTTTCTACAACCACTTTCACTTATCACTGATCTCAGCACTTTTCTTATCAAGCTACTGATACAGCTTAATCTCATGTGTCTTACAACGTGGGTCGAGAGGAAAACTTTGAGATTCAGGAGGGCTATCAAGTTGCAGGGGAGGATATTTGTTGATCAGAGGCGTCATGACTTATGGGAAATTTTTCTTGACGAATGAAGAATTGAAGTGGGTGGTTAACTTGCTCAAGCAACTCAAAAAAATGAAATAGCCTTCTACGGGATAAGTAAAGTAGAATAGGGATTTTGGCGGTTGGTGCTTGGAGTTCTAATTGGGAGGGAAGCTGCAAACTGGAATGTGAGAATCCAATAGAATGGGTTTGGTAGAGGGTGGAGTAAATTTTGGGTAAAGTAACATGTGTCTCTTGAAGAGAAAATGCCACTACCTCCTATAGCAACAAGAACAACTTGACCTAATGGAGGATATATAACAATAGTCAAAGAGATAGCATTTCCAGAAAAAGATTAGAATAATTCTGAAGAAAGATGGGAAGAAACATTTCCTAGCATCCATATGCTTTGGGGAAAACTGAGAAGGTGGCAAGTCTATCCATTTTGAGCTTTTGACTATAGACGAACAGAAGGAAAAGGGCTCTGAAGGAATAGGATAGCTTTGCTGATGAATGAATATGCTCAGGGACTTTCTTCCATTTGAATAGCGGTGTGACTAGAAAGGATACATGTAAGACTAATCTTGTTGTGGTCAGGCGACCCCAGAAAGGTGCATGGGAACTACTCCATCAACAAGGGAACTTAGATGGGCAAGAACCAATTTCTAGAAATATTTAATATGGAAGAAACTTCAGTCTTTGCCAACAATAACTACGCCTCAGTCCCACATAAGTTGGGGTCAGCTATGTGAATCCTCGATGACCATGTTCCTCATTTAAATTCATCTCAAGTTAACATTATACAATACAAAACTAGATGTACTATGTAACATCTCTATATTTTCTACTGACATAAGAACCTCTAATATGGCTAAAAGACTCCCGGAAAGCAAAGAACCTAAAGTATACGTATTAACATGACTAAGAAAATATTCCTAACGAATTGGCATTGCCTAATATAAATTTTTTGTTCCATTGTGTCCTATCTTTCCCAAACCCTGCATTAATTCTAAGAGATCGTAGGTCTTTCAAGCGAACTTCCTTTCATATGATTTTAGGGAGTTTTGGGCAAAAATCGTCCCTTAACTATAGCTCAAACCTAAGCTACATCCTTGGGTTACCTCAGTAAACAAAAAACATCCCTATATTATCTAAAAGGTGGCAAAAATCATTCCTCAGTTAACTTTTGTCAAAAAACTAACACCATCAGCAAAAAAGCATGTCAAACACGTGCCTCTCCCCCTAAATTTTCCCATTCTAGCCCTTCCATCTTCTACCTTCAGCAAAGCAGAGACTTCTGAGCACCCAAACCTTCGTCATTTACCCCCAAATGTCCAAGGAGTGAGACCCCACATTATCACCCTCCCTCCGCAAAAGACTGCTTCTTCACACAGGCACCTCCCGAGTAGCTCGTTGAACATCCATTCGCCCTTGTGGAAGCAGGGCCTAGTGTAATTAGCTATCGGCTATCGCCATTGTATTTGTTCCTAATTTCATAGGAGTAATTCTTTCTTCTCTTTGTTTTCACTGCGAATTTAAATTTTCTTTCACAACACTCTAATTCTTTGTTCTCTCTGTATTTTTACAGCAGAGTCAATCCCTGACTCATTGAGAGAATAGTTGCAGATCATTGAAGGGTTGTTGGTTTCTTGCGATTCTTGTCTCCTTGTTTAAATTTTTCTATGCGTAATTAAAAACCATGTCGATGGTATCACGCTTCCCAGTGTTCGATTTTACCCTACTGATGCAGAGTTGATCTACTTCTAAGAAAGTTCTCCGTTGAAGAAGCGGAAGTAATCACATAAAAGGTTTCGTTGAACTTGCGCCAACGGAGGAGACGACATTGTTCCAGATGATTGGTGGCACCAATTCTACTAGATAAATAGACATGGAAAAAGTTAACACTGATGTTTGTTAGCAATTTTTTCCCCCAGTGAATGTTATGTAAACAAGATGCATCATACTGCAATTATTTTTTTTTTCTTTCTGGGTATTGAAATTATTCTTTTATGTGACTTGTTCTGTACCTTTTTTGTCTGAACAGAGAGTCCAGAAACTTTTTGGTATAACATTGGTGCATGTTTTATGGGGAAAGCAAAAACTCACTGAAATAACTAAGACAACTTTGAGTCCGATTTTTTTCTCATAAATTCCCTGTAAAAGACTGCACTTCTAGATCAATTTTAGCTAATTAAAAAACAAGATATACCGGAAGGAAAATGATTTTAAGAGGATACCACATGCAATACAACACTCTCTAATTAAGAATAACTCAAAGGGAAAAACAGAGAGAGCTAGAGATCTGTGTGCAAGAAAAAACTTATTTGCCTTCAGGATGGCAAAATCAAGATGCAGCTGTCACTGCACATCGATCTAACACTAGGCCCTGCTTTCACAAGGGCGAATGGATTGATAGAGCTGTCCAACGAGCTACTCGGGAGGTGTCTGTGTGAAGAAGCAGTCATTTGTGGAGGGAGGGTGATAATGTGGGGTCTCACTCCTTGGCCATTTGGGGGCAAATGATGAAGGTTTGGGTGCTTAGAAGCCTCTGCTTCGCTGAAGGTAGAAGATGAAAGGGGCAGAATGGGAAAATTACGGGGGATAGGCACGAGTTTGACATTTTTTTTTGCTGATGGTATTAGTTTTTTTTACAAAAGTTAACGGAGGGATGATTTTTGCCACCTTTTAGATAATATAGGGATGTTTTTTGTTTACTGAGGTAACCCAAGGATGTACCTTAGGTTTGAGCTATAGTTAAGGGATGTTTTTTGCCAAAAACTCTGATTTTAGGTCTACCTCATTCCTTTTTAACACCTTAACTCATCATGATTTCACACCTACGCACCGGAGCATCCGGAGATCCGTGCTACTCACACCTTTTGACGAATGTAGTGATTTTTTATTTTGCCTAATCTTGTGTGACCTCACATCTATCTTAGCATACACATTATTGTGACACTCTTCTTGTAGATGTGTTGGACTTCAGCTGCCCAACATTCACTCCCATATAACATTGACGCTCTAATAACTGTTCTACAGAACTTGCCTTTTATTCGGTAGACATCCTCCTATCACATGATTGATGGGTACAAATCCTATTCATTGTAAAAGAAAAAAAGAAAAAATACAAAAAGAAGTGGAAAAGACAAAGAGAAAAAGTAAGAATGAAAAGAAAGTAAAAGAGAGAAGAAAGAAAAAGCAAAATTGGTGGGCTGCAAAAATGTGAAAGAAAGAATCAGCTCACAAACTGTGGTGTCGTAATGTTTTTTTAAATTTGCTGAAACTTTTTTTAGCAGACCCTCTGCCTATAAAAGGGCCTTTTCTCTTCATTTGCAAATCATCCCTCACATTCTTCTTTCTCTCTCAGTATCAATAAAGTTATTCTTTACGTGGTTGTGGAAGAGACAAAAGTTGCCGAACCACGTAAATCTTATCTTGTCTTGTGCAATTTATTGTTATTCTCTTCTAATATTTTTCCCTTCTATTAGCCTGACACGCTTCCCAACAATGATACCCCAGTGACATTCTCTATTTCACTATCCAAATTTTAATCTATGTATAACATCTTCATTTATCATTCAATTCTCGTGGAACGAGCCTAGATATCTGAATTGTTTGAGACTTTGAGGTACCAAATTCCGTCTTCACTAGTCCATTTTCCTCACTAGTGTTCCTTCCCATTAACAGAGAGAAAAGAATAGAGGGAACACATGCAAATTAATCTGCTCAAAACAATGTAATTGGTGTCCATTTCCGAGAGCTAAAACAATTTCAAAGAAACAGTCCAAAATTAACAACATCCACTTGAAAAATCTAAAGCTGGAGCAAAGAAACATTCACTACTAAAAAGTGCAATGAGTCAGCTGATTACCTACGCCACTTCCCACAGATACTTCCATCCACATATTCCCCAATACCTTCAATGGCCTGCCGGCACTGAAGCCAATTGCCAATAGAACTGAACCTTGAAGGTTTGTTAGAAGAGCATTCCTGAACAATACAATTCTGTAAGTAATTATCCTAGAACTAAGTAGCTAATTGTATGGGAAAAAATAGATTTCAGGAGTAGAACTTACATGCAATCTGAGATACTTGGAAGGCCTGATTTCTAATGGTTCAAACCGATCAACCTCACTGCATCAAATCGCATTATCAAAAATAAAGCAGCAGGCATGCTCAAATTATAGGGAGAGTGCAAAATAGAGGAACCAATTATAAAAACAGTCAACATTAACAGCATTCCACAATATGCGAGATTTTCAGATATTAGGCTGCAAAATTATCAGGACATATGGAGCACGAAACCTGTGAGCATTCTAAGGCTTCCCCAGTATAAAGAGAAACCTGAACATGCATATGCCATAGTAAACACCACTAATGCTTATCCATTTTGAACTGAAAACCTAAGGATTAATATCCAACCAAGCATTCAAGCAATCTTACTTAAGTTTCAGAAAGGAAGGATGTGCTAGCTCTAGCAGGTATAGATTCATAGATAATGAGATAAGAGAAAAAAAAAAAAAAAAAAAAAAAAAAAAAAACAACAACAACTAGTTTGAGTTGTAGATGCAGAGAATATGCCACCATATGCTTTAACATTTTCTAGACATTCTAAAGTTCCTCTTTTTCAAAAATCTATCTCCACAGATTTCTTTCTTTGCACAGAGAGTTTCATTAGGTAGGTCCAATGAGCAGACCAAGAGTTGTCCAACATTAATGAAGTAGCAGAGATGAAAACAACATTCAGTGATGGATCTAGAGAGCACTGAAGGAAGTTTGCTTTTTCACATGGAGAGCAGCTTCGGTACTCAAGATGTCAATGGTTGAAAGATGGGGACAGGAACACAAAATACTTCCAAACAATAGCCAACTCTCACAGAAGATTCAATAATATTGATAAGCTCAAAGTGGGGAATGAAATAATGGAAGATAAAGCTCAGATCAAAGAGGAGATTCTGAGTTTTTATCAGAATTTGTACACAGAAAATGAGGAGCGGAGACCAACTGCCAATTTTGATGAAGTTGCGAGGCTCTCAGGGGAAGATAGGGAAATGCTGGAGAAACCCTTTGAGGAGGAGGAAGTACATACTGTCATTTTATCTTGTGCCCCAGACACTCCAGGCCCAGATGACTTCACTGTGGTTTTTTTTCCAAAAAACTCGGGAGTTCATCAAGTCAGAGCTGATGGGGGCACTCAATCACTTCCACTAGCAATGCTACATGGTGAGATCATGCAATGTTTCTTTCATTGCCTTGATCCCTAAAAAGAAAGGGGCAATAGAGCTTAAAGATTACAGGCCAATAAGTCTTATTGGCAGTGTTTATAAGATTGTGGCCAAGTTGTTAGCAGAAAAGTTGAAGAAAGTCATTGGCAAGCTAGTCTCTAGTCACCAGAATGCCTTTATCAAACTCATAGCCAATGAGGCTTTAGATTGGAGGATTAAAACTGGAGACCCTGGCATTATGTGCAAGCTTGATATAGAGAAGGCTTTTGACCAGTTCAACTGGGCTTATCTAATCTCTATACTGAGGAAGATGGGATTTGGAGATAAATGGATAAGGTGGAGCAAATTCAGCATTTCAACAGTCAAGTACTCAGTGCTCGTCAACAGAGAACCAGCAGGCTTCTTCTCACCCAGAAAGGGATTAAGCAAGGAGATCCACTCTCCCCATTCTTGTTCATTCTAGCCATGGAGAGGCTAAGCAAGATGTTGGAGAAGGCCAGAAAATTACAGTGGATTCAGGGATTTAGAATAGGCACAGATATTGGGAACTCAATCACTATCTCTCACCTGTTGTATGCTGATGACACTTTGATCTTCCGTGAGGACGAGAAATCTCAAGTTATGTACCTGAATCTAACACTTCTCCTCTTTGAAGCTCTATCAGGGTTACATGTCAATGTGTTGAATGTCAATGTGTTGAAGAGTATGATTTACCCTATCAACCATGTGCCCAACATAGAGGAGCTCTCAGGTATCAGGGGCTGCAGTATTGGGTCACTACCTACCACATACTTGGGTCTTCCATTGGGAGCCAAATTCAAAAATTGTGAGATATGGAATGGTGTTATTGAAAAATTTGAGAGGAAATTAACTTCATGGCAGCTTCAATATCTTTCTATGGGGGGCAGATTAACTCTCATCAATAGTGTATTAGATAGCATACCAACATACTACATGTCACTGTTTCCTATTCCCAAGAAGGTGCTAAAGCAATTGGACAAAATCATGAGAGACTTTCTCTGGGAGGGCAATAGCAACACTCATAAGTACCACCTAATAAAGTGGGGCGAAGTCACACAGCTAAAACTAAATGAAGGTTTGCGAGTTAGAGATTTAGCTGTCCACAACAAAATGTCTGCTAATGAAATGGCTTTGGAGGTATGGGACAGGAGAGTCAAGCCTTTGGAAGCAGGTGATCAATGCCAAGCATGGTAAAAGAGACAACTGGGGTTCTAATAGTTCTAATGCGCCCTATGGAGTGGGTCCTTGGAAGTACATTAGTGAACTGGGGGATGAGTTCTTTCAAAATATCTCTTTCAAATCAGGTAATGAGGCTCACATCAGATTCTGGAAAGACAAATGGCTAAACTACACAGCACTCATGGATGAGTATCCTAGCTTATACCAGATTGCTCTAGACAAAAATTCCTCCATAGCACAGAACAGAAATGGCAGCAATTGGGATGTTCATCTTAGAAGGTCAGTGCAAGACTGGGAAGTGGATACCCTGATGAATATGCTAGCAAAAGTGGAGGGGTTCAACGTGGATGAGAGCCAACAAGACACCATATGTTGGGGGAGAATGGGCACCTTCACAATGAAAGAATGCTACAGACAGATAGGTACTCAGAATCAAGTGCTAGATGCATGGCCAGGGAAGTTAATATGGAATACTAAGCTACCTATTATAGTCATTTGTCATAACTGGATTGCTCTCAGTGAGGCCTGTTTAACACAAAACAACCTAAACTGAAGAGGTTTTCAGCTGGTCAACAGATGCTACCTATGTACGGAGGATGAGGAAACTGTCAACCACCTATTTTACTGACCTCTGGAACATGTTCTACTGTCTTTTTGGTTTGAACTGGGTCATGCCACATAATATGAGAGATGCACACATGAGTTGGAGTTTATGGAGAGTTGATAAGACCATCAAAAAGATCTGGTTGACGATCCCTGGTGCTATTTTTTGGTGTTTATGGAATGAGAGGAATAGCAGATGTTTAATGGAATCTCAACTCCAAATCACTCTCTCAAAGCTACTGCTTACTCAATCTTTTGTGCTGGCCTAAGTTAGCTATTGTAATTAGTACTGGCCAATTTTTGGATTTTGTTAGCTCCTTTGTCTTAGAATGACACGATGTAAAGGGACTAACATTTAGTATTATTTATGCGTTTCAATTTCCTTGTAACCTTGCATCTTCTTGATGCCTTTTGTTAATGAAACACCTTATTTCATCAAAAAAAAAAAAAAAAAAAAAAAAAAACAGCTTCGGTAGCCATCTTTACAGTAGAGAATTTGAGAAGAAGGTCAATTGATGCCAGTTGGTGCTTAGTGTGAAACAAGCTGAAGAGGATGTTAACTACTTACTGCTTGATTGTGGAATTGAACGACTGCATATAGGTGAAGGCATATGGTGGGAATATGTCTGTTATCAAATTTTGTGATGTAAAACCATCGAAGAAGCAGATAGAAGAACATGAGAAATAGCTATTTCAGCGGTCACGTGGAAACATGGAAAGAGAGAAACAGAAGACTTTTGAAGGATTAGCAAATTCCCTCACACAGATTAATGATTCTTTTTTTTTCTGTGTGTCTAATACAATTCCTAGTTAGAATTGGCGAGTGAGTTCTTTTAGTAAAGAATCATGTTTTTTGTGTAAATTCTCTACATTGTAACACCTTGTACGTTGGGATCCCCCATCATATCAATAATATTATTAACTCCACAAAACATAACAATTGAAAATGACAAGTACAAACGGTTACAAAAGGTAGGCACAGGATGAGCAATCATTGAGGTTTATCTGCCTATGTGATAGACCATTTAAAGCTATATCAACATTTTCACTTCCCTGAAGTAAACAGGAAGATCCACAAAATGTAAAAATGGATATATAGAACATACTCTATCACAGGACCTGTCCAGTCAGGAACCTCAGCTTGAAAATTATTGCCAATACGAACGCAGGTTCTATATATGCTGGTGTCCTTCAACATGAGAGATATAGGTCCTGATTCACCTTCAGACAATAAGTTGCTAGAACTTTCAGTTTCGACGGGCCCACTTAGGGATTTACAAGGTGATTTCTCCAGTAATTTTCGCTTCTTAATCAAACAATATTGGCAAAACCACTCATCCCGAGGTATTTTCCTTATACGGGGATTGCAGCAAGATAAATGATATGCATCAGCACAATTATCACAGATTAGCATCTTCAATGTAGAATCTGAACAATCACAGGCTTTGCATGAGATTAAAGAGCAGTTGTCAGTACTAGTACCAGAGGCTTTAGCGGACATGCGGAGCTCAGTAAACGGAACTTTCTCAAGCAACCCATAACCTCTAAGAATTGCTATGCATATATCCTTTTCTGGCATATTATCATCCAATCCTTCAGGAACTAAAGCACCAGATGAAGAGCATTCACTGGCATCACCCACATCAGTCTTCAATGAAGAAGAATCAAAGTCCAACGACGAATGGCTATCATTTACACAAAAATCTGAAGTCCTTTGTATATCACTTCTTGATGCTGCTTCAGAGCACTGCTCTTCTACTTCAGGTCTACCATCACAAGAATTTGATTTAGAAAGAAGGTTCCCTCTATTACACTCAGCAGGAAGCAGAAAAGGAGCTGCAGTAGCTGCTTTTTCAACAGCAACTCCAGCAACCAAGTCTTCCTTAAAAGTTCCTGAATGGACCTCAGAACAATGCTCAGAAGGACATCCATTGCTAGGCCTAACTTCAGCTGATGTTTCAATGGAGAAAGTAGTGAGAGGGTTTCTTCGGAACTTTTTCCTACGATATACAATGGGCTTAGAAGTTCCAGACATTGCACTGAAAGTTGAAGGTCGTGAACCATCTACAATGTTTAAGCAACAAGTATCACCATCCTTTGAATTAGATTTGCTACAGCCATGAAGAGGGCGTTCATCATTTTCAGGATTCATTTTCAATGATTCGGCAGAAACCCAGTCACATGAGTCTTGCTTTGTGATCTCAGATGAGAAAGAGGTCGCACAAGAAGCTTCTATGCAACCAGGAAGACAATTTTGTATCAGCATAGCAATTGAGCCACACACTAATATGAAGGAAGTAATCTTTCTCTTGTATATGAGTACATCTACCAAAATGATGTGCTCCTATACATCCAATCCAATTTAGTATCAGCGTTTTTTTATCACAGCTGTACTCCCTGAACATAAAGAAGAAACTTGCAATGAGATAAGGAAATCAATCAATATAAAGTTGAATGCTAGTTCTCAAACAGAAGGATATGGGAAGACTGCAAGCTTAAAAAGGAAAGATAAGTAGGATTTCTGAAAATCATCTATGAAATCTGAACCCGAACACAGGTAATAGACCATGCATCAGAAGGAATTTATAACTGATGAATATCCCAAATTCAAACTCTTAAAAGCCATGTGTGAACAACGGAAAGAAAAAAAAAAGCCACGTGTCCCTCAAATTGGAGAAGGAAGTCTTTCTGATAACTTCTAGAATCAATTAGTATATGTTACACTTTTTTATGTCATTAGCCAATAATTTCTCCTTAAATTTTTGCTTTCACTTGGTAGAGTAGTCTATACTAATTTCATCGTTGTTTCCATTGCGTACAAGTTCATGGTCATCTATATAGTGCTCCTTCATAGAAGAAGAAAACAAAAGGCATAGAAGGTGCTCCATTAGCTCTTATGTGGGTCGCATGGAGAGGCAGAAATAGAAGAGCTTTTGAGGGGATTGAAGATGATTTTGTACACTTGAGGAATAGCCTTTTGTCTCTGATTGCTTTTTGGTGCACCATTGATACTCCTACTTGTATAGATGATTTGTATCTTTCGTAGAGAATCATATTTTGTTGCAGATTCTCTACTTTTTGGTATACCTCATGTATACAAGAGCCTTTCCCAGTTTGTTAATAATATCATTTACCTTATCAAAAAAAGAACATATAATGCTCCTACAATAGCAGTTCGGTTCAGTTTATCCTTCAAAGTAGAGAATCCTGTCTCTGATTGCTTTTTGGTGCACCATTGATACTCCTACTTGTATAGATGATTTGTATCTTTCGTAGAGAATCATATTTTGTTGCAGATTCTCTACTTTTTGGTATACCTCATGTATACAAGAGCCTTTCCCATTTTGTTAATAATATCATTTACCTTATCAAAAAAAGAACATATAATGCTCCTACAATAGCAGTTCGGTTCAGTGACAGGATCCATTGAGACTTGAGACTACATGCCTTCAAGTTAAGTAAGGGCATTGCTAATGAGAAACTAGGTCCCATGTATTCAGAATATGGTTTAGTCTTATAATAAGAAAGATGTTGCATCGCTAATACCACTCAGTTATCTGGTTCATGACAATATAAATATGCTATCAAAAGTTTTTCTTGCATAACCAAGAAATTCTTGAGGGCCAAGGGTGCACGGTCCGGAATACGGTGGATATTGCGCTCGCCTCTCTACCCTTCTCCACTTAAATACCATGCTTTTGTCTATGACATGTTCGAACTCATGACATGCACCTAATTACATATCACGTTTTGGGCTCTTACCACGAGAACAAAGCCCTGAGGGCTATGCTATCAAAAGTTCTCATGTCATCATTTTCCTAATGGAACATCAAATCTAGTGAGAAGATGTGAAAACAGCTATGCCCCATTTGGTCTGGTATGGGCATGTATCAGGTGCAGGTAAGGATCTGCACAAGTGTACCCATTTGACGTGGATGCATAAAGGCAAATGATGTTTGTGATAGAGCCACTAACCCTTACCCTTCAATACAATCAAATAATGCACCAGTTTTTCTTCCCAACAAATAACTCAAACTAGAGGCGAAGCCAGAATTTGAAGCCTATTTTTTTTGAAAAGAATTTGAAGCCTATGGGTTCAGGATTTTAGTTATTTTGAGTTATTGAGTTAAATTAAAAGTTTGTGCATATGAGATGAATTTCTTAAGACAAATACAGGATTTGAACCACAACTCTTGGGTCCTGCGAACCCAGTTCCTATATTGTAACTCCGCCCTGACCTAGACTAATAATGTATAGCGATGGGTCCAAAAAAATTTAGGTTACAATGACATGCCACAGGCCTCAATTGTAGTCTTTGGGACTATAGATTGCCCACCAAAGGAAACTGCTGGCAATTAGACAGATATCTATCCGAAATCAAAAACAAAGAGCCAGTTCTCCAGCAGTTAACCAAATATCAGAAATCACATGAATGCAGTTCAATCAAACATCAGCCATGGTAATCATCTACAAACAACAAATTGAAACAAACCCTTTTGACTAATTCAAAATAGAACATGAGAGTTACCCATATATTATAGCAATATTTCTATAAGTTCAATAGACATATGCAAGGTAAATAATATTTGGCACAATTCAACAACCAGAACATTCAACAATAAATGATAAATGCTTTGAATCTAACTATCTGCAATGAGAAAACCATTAAAATTTGGGGAAAAGATTCAATGATAAAAGGGAAAGGGAAAACTGAAGGAAAATAAAAAGGTTAGAAACAATTGAAGAATGACCTTTGGTTGAACGCCGGGGAGAACCCAGTGCGGCACAGGCGGAGGTGCAGGAAGTGGCACACAGGGCTTCGACCAAAGGAACTGTTGGAATAACTGATACTACACCATTTTTATTGTCCTTCTATTTATTCCCAAGGGCAAGTATGTAATTTAGAGTAGCTTTTCCGGTGAGACTGTAATCAACTTTTAACAAGATTTGATAATATAATTGATTACTCTAAATTCTCGTTGATATTTTATTAGATAAATAGTTGGTACGTATGTATTCTACTATTCATTTAGTCTTTTTATACTTGAAGAACGGATCAAATGATAAACATATTTTCAATTGCACCCTTGTAATGGTTTTTCTTTGAAGATTATGAAATATGATCACTATAGTAGTGAGTAGTCTAGCGTCTTTGAAAGGAGTATGTTCGCGTCATTATGTTAACGGTTAACTAGAATCTTGTTTGATTTTGTAGGTGTACATACTCGACCGTTAATAGTTTGTCGCGATTTAGTTTCATTAATGTACTAAATTTACCATATTTTGATGAAGTTTTTACCTGCCAAATTTTAACACAATCTACTTGAAATAAATGTTTTTGCATCTTTTTTGGAACTTTATATCCTTGTAATCTTGTTCAAGTTATTTTCAACTGAAACTTTATCCTTTTTCTTTTGCTCTTTTTTTCATGATTTTCTTCTTCAGTTATGTTTCATATGCACCTTTATTTTCACTTTTTGGATACTCTGATCTTATAAGCTTTCTTAGAGCACTATTGTCTTTACATTGCAAGGAAGCTCAATAACACAGACTATCAATAAAATTATAAAAAAGATTAACTTGTTGCAAATAATTACTACCTAACTGCTATTAATAACAAAACAGTTACAGATCCATAACAAAGCAACTCTTCACGGTATCAGTCCCTTACAGTAAACTCAGGCCTAATAAATCCTTTAATTCACAGAGCGGTACCTGTGTAAGCCGAAGAGTGAGATTAGCGCTCCAAATTCAATTACTTATCTCAGCCACAGAAAAGTTACATCATATTATTTTGCTAACCGGATAGTTTCAGATCAGAGGCGGATTTAGGATTTTTAATATATGGGTGCACTACTAAAAAAAATAAGGAAAAAATATAGTAAGTAGGAATTGATCCCTATTACTCCTGATAATTAACTCAATCTTCAATCAAGTACACCAATAAACATTTTTGAAGATGAGTGCCAACACTTCATATTATACAATTTTTAGAAAATATATACATAAAATATCTAATTTTGCAGAAAGACCATGGGTTCACATGTCCCATATTTTTGCCTATAAATCCGCCCCCGGTTTCAGTTATTGCAGCCATTCTGTTGCATATATTTGATTCCCAATTTGTTGGTAAGATAATGATTTTAAGCTTTCACTCAAAAATATATTTTTCCTTTTAAAAGTTTGGTCAAACACTTTAATTTAAAAAGAAAAATATTTTTGGTGACAAAAAAATACTTTTGGTTAAAAAGAAGCTCGGCCAAACGGACAATTGATTAGTTATTCTAAAAACGACACTTTATATCGGCTCTCAAAATAATAACCGAAAAATATATTTTTTTTTGTATATATATATATATATTGTTTGCCCGTAAAATGGTATAATTAAATTTATATGTGATTTCTAGACAAGTGAATTAATCTGATCCTGAAATAAAGAAATAATTGAAGGAATATGTAATAGTTAGCCTTGATATGACGACAAAATAGCAGAAATAATGGTTCCGGTAGCGAGGCTTCCGGGGCACAACGATAATAAGAACAAAAAGTAAGAAGATAAAGTTGTATAGAGTTTTGAGTAGATTATAGTATTAGTTTGCCAGAAAATTCGTTTTCTCTACAATGATAATAGAGCTCACTATTTATAGCTACGTCTAGGGAACAAGGTCCTAGGATCGTGCCCTTCTTTAATGTCAATTATGAGGTCCATTGATGAAGGTATAACGGTGAACATAAATGATAAATTCTCTGTAACAGACAGTACATTCAATTTGTGGAATATCTTTATTAATGCCATGTATTTATTATCTCTTTATGAGTGTCATTCCTTCCGGTACCAAACGGGATAATTGCTTTCGGTTTCACGTGTCATTTTTTTAAGTGGCCACTTGGCATAGCACATTTTACCCTATACAGATAGTCCCCCTGCTTTCCGGTGACACAGCTTGTGTCACCAGGAAGTTGGTAGAAACGCTATTTTGGCAGGAATCACTATGATTCCTTCTGAAAGGCTTCTGACGGTTGATTAGACGCACATCTCTCTGCATTTAATACTCCAAATACGCGTTATCCCACGATTCAGCATAGCTTGTGCCGGTTATCAAGGTAATCATGGCCATGAATTTAGCCGCCTAAACTTTTACTTATACACATCAATCTTCTTTACTCATACTCCATAACTTTCCAAGCTTTCTAAATTTTGTTTTTCAACCTTTCTCTAGCTCCCTTTAAACGGAAACGCTTTTCTTTCATCAAATGGCTTTTTTTTCAAAGAACACCAGATCTTCAAAGAGCAAAAACAAATATGAGGGTGTTGCTCCTCCAACAGTGGATTCCATCATCCTCAGAAGTCTTCTTACAACAAAAGACTTCGAAGAGACATTCCCTTCGGCTATCCCTCACACGTGGGCCGTTGGTAGATACCCTTCTTCCATTTGTTCTTCTAATATTTTTGTTGTGAAGGAAGATTGTTGTTGTCATGATTTGGACATTCTTGCTCCTGATCTAACAGAGCGAGTAGCCCTACCCAGGGAGGGTATTACATATTTTTACACGTATCCCTTTACTTTAGGTGTGTTCTCTTAGAAGAGCTTGACTCTGTTATTGCAGAGTTCTGCCTCCACTTCCAAGTGTGTTTGGCTCAAGTAAGTCCATTCGCATGGAGGACGATTGCTTGTCTTCGGCGTTTGTGCCAAGAAACGGGAGATGAGCTATCTTTAACTCATGTGATGAATCTCTATTCCCCCAAAATCTTCCGTATGGGAATGATAAATTTTAGCAAATGCGGCCATCGTGCTTTATTATCTAGCATGGATGATGACAACGACTATGGGTGGGTGGAACGGTTCATTGCAGTTGCCACCAATGACATCATTCCGGCAATGGCTTCATCCTTTTCGGGATCATGGAACAGCACTCGTAAATTACTTGTTTAATATTCCTTTCATTAGAAATTTCTTCATACTCGTATTGATTTCATTAGAAATTGCTTCTAGTATTTTGTGTGGCAAGAAAGTGTCACTGAAACTTAAAGGTAAGTTTTACAGAGTGGTGTTCAGGCCAACGATGTTGTATGGGGCTCAGTGTTGGCCAGTCAAGATCGCTCATGTCCAGAAGAAGAAGGTAGCAGGGATGAAGATGTTGAGATGGACGTGCGGGCATACCAGGTTAGATAAGATAAAAAATGAGGTTATTCGCGACAAGGTAGGTGTGGCCCCTATTGAGAACAAGATGGGGGAAGCACGGTTTAGGTGGTTTGGTCATATGAGGAGGAGGAGCACAGATGCCCCAGTGAGGAGATGTGAGAGGCTGACATTGGATGACCTACGGAGAGGTAGAGGTATGCCAAAGAAGAGGTGGGGAAAGATGATTAGGCAAGACATGGCGCAACTTCAGCTGACCGAGGACATGACCCTTGATAGGAACGTATGGAGGTTGAGGATTAGGGTAGTAGGTAGGTAGTCTAGAGAGTTCATAACAGTAGTATTGACACGCAGTCTCGCTTTGTATTGGTAATAGATTTTTATGACTAACTATTGTTTTCTTTCATTGTTGATCACCTTACTATCTTGTTGTTTTTATTCTGCTTTTATATGGCTTTTTGGTACTGTCCCTTCTTGTCTGTATTTTTTATTAATATGGTGCTCATGTTTTCCTGAGCCGAACGTCTATTGGAAACAACTTATCTATCATTACAAGGTAGGGGTAAGGTCCATACACACTACCTTCCTAGACCCCACGGTGTGGGATAATACTGGTATGTTATTGTTGTTGTTCTATTGATTCTCCATCCTTTGCCTACTTCAAAAATTCGATGGGTTCCACCTAGGATTGAAGGCTTGGACCGGTGGATCCAGAAAATCTTGGATGTCACTATGCCTGAAACCGGCACGTGGTAAGAACTGACCCTCAAATACGGGTGGAAGGCCAAAAATCGTGGTAACTTAGACTCATCTCGTTATACTTTTTATGTAAGGAAATTTATTGATCCTATCTTTTCTCCTCTTTTTCTGAAATCAAGTCTACTCGCAGGCTCAGTTATCGTCCCCGACGAGGATGTTTTGGCTGATCCCGCCAATACCGAGAGGCTACTTCAGGAGGCTCTTACTCGAAATGGTGCCTCTGGGCCTACTTCCGGTTCAAGTGTTTCATTACGGAGTCCCTCGCCGGAGAACAAGCATCCAAAAAAAGGCGTTCTTCCATGGCCGGGGAAAAGAATAAGAGGGCGAATTATTTCCCTCGAGTCATCTCAGGGAGTAGTAGTGACTAGCCCTCCTCCTAGGTCAGTCATAGATATCGTGATGATTGATGATAATGGAGAAGCTAGTGATGAGGGAGCTTCTCTACATAGAAGACGATGAACCTTATCATCTCAACACGATGATCAACTTGTTAAGTTAGTTACACCAATCAAGGACAATGTTTCGGCGCTCTAGGAAGAGTTTGAAATGATGGAAAATGCCAACTCTCGTTGCCCAAACCCAGTCGGTGTGCCCGGTACAGTGAGGCTGAGTACTGGGCCCCTACCGTCTTCGGTTGATGAGAAACCAACAACCAACACTACGTTTGTCGCAGCTACCTCTCATCCTTGAACACCATCAGCTCCATCACCTTCTTCACCAACTCTTCCACCAACAACTTCCATATTATCTCCACCGGCCGCGTTCGGCCGAGAAGAAGATGTTCTTCTTCCCCAGTCCCCAGTTTATGGGAATTTGGGGCAAAGTTATGGTGCCCCTTCAGAAGATCCTTAAGTAGGAGGAACATTACTCTCTCGGTCTCTACCGAATGCAATTTGCTATCCCAGCTGGGGGAACTTACTAACTACCTGAAGCCGTTGGCTTCAGAGAAAAACTAGGAAAAAATTACAGGCTCTCTCGGGAGAGTGCCTGTTGAACAACGCCGCAACGGTATACTCTTTACTTCCTT